AGGAATTAACAAAAACTCACTTTCCCTGTCTTTATATAGTCTTCCTAAAGTTCTGTTCAAGTATTTTCTAGTTAATTATGTAACAGAATGTTCGCATCTCTCCAAATCTTGAAACTTGAATTTTGAGAATGCATTGAATTATGCTTTCAGTGTTAAAGTAAAAGGTTTCAATTATCCTTCTAGTGAAGTCTATTGTGGAATACCATTTCCCATGGAACTGAGGCCATTTCCACAACTTTGCACAGAACTACAGTCTTGTTCTTCCCCTGGATCATGAAAATAGGTCTCACACAGTGCCGTAATACTTGTGGATTCTTTTGTAATCTTTGTAATCTTAATAAGGGCATTATGAGAAGATGACTCCATGTTTTTTAATATTTCAAACACATTGGGATGTAACAATGAATGTCAACTGGAGGAATGGTTGTTTCGTTTTAAGGAATAAGCATGTTGGGAACGATGATGAAAATGTACTACTACTGAAAGTTACACACTTCCATAGGCAAGTGGGATTATGTGTTCAAGCATAGTCTTCATGCTTAGTAAACTGACTGAAATTGTAGAAATTACACCTAGGACTGAACTATGCCAAAATGCCATTTTTGTTTAGAAAAGAGAGGTGTGGAAGTGGTAGTGAGGGAGTAGAACCTTAAAACCGCTTCCAAATAGTATTTTGGAATTGAAGACTTGGTGACTAGTGAAGAACATCAGGATTGGTTATTTCAGCGTGCCAAGTTTGGGTAAACCAGGTTTGCCTCTTTTGTAACAATGTAAACACAATGGTGTAGTTACTTAAATTCTGGGTGGACGGAGCGGGACTGATTTTACTGTGTCTTGCCCTTCGCCCTTCGTGTTTTTCAGAACCAAATAAGAGAAATGTGTGTGTGTATACTGTATCTGCCTTTCCACCACATTTTGATGACACTGTATTCCACTGCCTGCTTTCTACCTTCTTTCCCCAGGATTTGTCCTATAGCTTAGCATTTGTGGTTAACTGTGATGCTAGAGCTGACAGCACAGAAGACGTCACAAGAGAAGAGTGGAAGGGCAAGGATTCGAAGCATCTGTCCATACAATGTGGAAACCTCTTTTGCATAGTTGCGTAGGATCCTGTTTGTAATGCTATCACTAATATTCTGTAGTTTTGTTCCCCCCCAAGCCCCAACCGGAGCTATGACACTTTTTATTGGATTCAGTCTTGTCTCTTGTCTAGAAAGAATTTTACTTGTTGACGCATGAGCTGTTTAAAAATTATTCTCTTAAATGTTGGTTAATAGTTGTGCAGTTTTTCATTTTCAAAGAAAAGGCACTGCAAATGTTGCCTTTTGTTTTCTGTCACCTTCCCACCCCTCAGCACTTCTAGTCAGATACAGATTCATCAGTGTATGCAACATCCTTTGTAATTTAAAATAAAAAAAGACAAAAGATTTTGACTTGTTCGCCTCCTCTTTTTGCCTTGTCTCTCTCTACTGTTTACCAAGGTCACTGTTCCTTGAGATTTCATATCCCAGGGGAATGCCAGACCAGAGCCCAGAGCCGCCACTGAGCCCTAGCTGGAGAGTGTGCAAAGAGCTGATGGTTTTGGATACTTTAGGCTGGTGATGAAATATTTGGGGGAAATTGAACTATTATGTAGAATTATTTGTTGATGTAAGCATTTGCATTCATCATAGTTTAGAGCATAATTTATACTGACTTCTTTGATTCTTTGCGCAAGTGATTTCTCCAAGGGGAAATAAAACATTTTGGGTCTCTCCCAATTTAAATATTTGTGTGTGTAACAGTTCTAAGTCTCCCAGCTAGGCCAGGCACAGACATAGAGCCTTAGGCAGGGAGACCCGAGTGAAGGCCCCTACAGGAATATCACAAATATCTTGAGCACTTACTCTGCCAGGCATCCTGGAGGTACTGGGCTGGACTGAGATGAAAGGGCCCTGGGAGCTCACAGTGGGCCCAGGGGCAGCGTGTGAACAGGAGACTGCAGAACGGTATGGTACCAGAGCTGTGGAGTGCGTGAGGGCTCTAGGGGCCTCTCACTGAGACAGATTAAAGGTAAGGTGCCACAACCCAGGGGCGTGTGAGAGGAGACAGATGGCACGCTTGTGTTTTTGACATCCTGGATCCTTGAAGAAACCCATTTTCCTTCATTCGAGTGACAGTTGGGCCATCAGGAAGCAAAATGGACTTGGCCTCCCATAGACTGGTTCTTCTTCAGGCCTTGAGCACTCAAGGTCACTCCTTATGGGAACTTCTGTCATGGTCCTGGAAACTGTAAGGAGCTGGGTGAGCCAGGTCAGTACAGTCCTTAGGAGATAAACCTCCTGTGGGTAGCATCCAGTTAGATGGGTCATCAGTTGTCCTTTCTCACCAACAGTGCTTTTGGAAATAGGTGAGCTCTCAGTCAGGTTAGTGGAGAAGTCAAAGGAAAGAAAAATAGTAGCTGGAAAATTCTTAAATACCCCCAATTAAAAGTTTTGAGAACAGCTGGTGGCTGGATCCCACATGGCTGACATTGCGGTCCCCAGACCTGATGGCTTGAAAAATGTGCGTACATGCCTCTGTGTGTGTGTGTGTGTGTGTGTGTGTGTGTGTGTGTGTTTGTGTGCGTGCGTGCGCGCTCATGCGCGCGTGCCAAAAATTTCAAGAGACGAATAGAGGAGAAAGGATTGTGGTGTGGCCATCTCCCTGAGGAATACTTTCTCACTTCCTGTCTCCAGCAAGTGGACATGCACTACAGCTAAATAAAAGCCAGTGGTTTAAAACAAAAAAATAGGTAGTGTTAGGAAATTCTAGGGAATAGGGGTAGCACTCCTAAAGCCCCTGCTTGGTGCTTTCTTGTTTAAGAACTCAGTGGCTACTCAAGGGCCTGGTGCGGCTAGTGGTCAGTCATATTAGACCCAAGATGAAGGGACAGCCCCAGCCCGAGCTTATGTGATATGGAGCCCCAACTCAAACTCCAGCCTGAGTGTTACACTACAGAGACATTCATACTTGTCTCTAAAGGACCATGCCCAGTCCGACATGATATTCTGAAAAACCACTAAAGCCAAAACCTATTGGATCTAATAAACAAAAGCTAGTCTCAGGATCAGCACGTAAAGGCAATGGGAAGCAGGCAGGATTGGCAGTAGTGCCGTATAAGAGTTACCAAAGAGGGCCTCAAGCTTAAGGGTTTAGGATTGGGTCTCAGAAGTGTGTTGGAGAGTGAAGAAAAGGGCGTGATGTTTTCTTTTAGCTGCTGCATAAGGTGCAACTGGGAACTTGATTGTGCAGAAGCTTCCAGCAGGAAGCATGATGGCCACTGGTCAGTGGCATGTGGGCAGAATTGTAAGAGCTGACCTTGGGGCTTCTCTGTTGTCTAAATAGGGAGTTTCTATTCCACAATGCAGATCACTGGAGTGCTTTGAAGACTGTCAGCCTCAGTTCTTCAGAAGGTTTCAGCCATGCCAATAGTGTGGCCTAGAGCTTAAGAGAACCAGGTCCCACATGGCCAACAGGTGGTCAAATCCCTGCCCCAGTGGTTTGAAAAACATGCTGGGTGCCTGTATGTGTGTGACCCAAATCCTGACAGGATGGAGAAATGGAGAATCAGCATCCCCAGTTCATAAATAAAATATTTTGGGGCCAGCAGGTGACGTGGTAGTTAAGGCTCTGGACTGCCCCATGGCCAGCCACAGTTCTAGTCTCAAACCTGGCAGCTTGCTTTCTCACTTTCCCTCTTCCTCTCTGGTGAGCACACATACCCTATAGCAAATTCAAAATAATAAAAAGTCAGAAAATCTAAAAAAGATAAAAGATTTCAATCTCAAAATATTACTAGGAATAAACTTTAATAGAAAATGCACAAGGCCTAGGTGAAACTACCATGAAGGACGGAGAAGAAAATGAACATGGAGAGCTATACCAAATTCTTGAACAGGAACAGTCCATGTAAAGCCATAACTTCTAAATTAAAAATGTAATGATGGGGGACCAGCAGTTAGCGTAATGGCTATGTTGCTGGACCTCCCATATAGTCGACTGCGGTTTGCATCCTGGACCCGGTGGCTTAATACTCACACCAGGCACATGTGCGTGCATGCCCAAGATCCCGAGAGGAGAATGGAGGAGAAGGGATTGCGGCGTGGCCATCCCCCCCCCGGGGAGTGATTTCTCGTTTTCTATCTCTCTGTCCCTCTCTATCTGTCTGGCGAGCGCACGTGCACTATAGCAAAAACCTCTTAAAAATATATGTAATGATGGGACCAGCAGATGGTGTAATAATTCTGTTGCTGGACTCCCACAAGGTGATAGTGGTTTGAATCCTGGACCTGGAGGCTTAAAACTCACACTGGGCACATGGACGTACATGCATGCCCAAAATCTCAAGAGGAGAAAGGAGGAAAAGGGATTGAGGTGTGACCATCCCCGTCCAGGTGATTTCTCGCTTTCTATCTCTGTCTGTCTCTGGTGAATACACACGTCCTATAGCAAAATCTTAAAAAGAAGTAATGTCATCTGGAAAAAACACACCGAGTGTTTTCAAAGTGTTCAATTTACATAGGGAAAAATGTATAGTTGGAAGATGCTTGCGAGAGAAGATAAATGGGTATTGACCTAGCAGAATAGTAAAAACTCATTATAAAGCTATAACAACTCAAACTATTGTTTTGATGCATATAATAAATAGGCCAATAAGGCAGAGTGAAAGATACAGAAATAGACTCTAGCATGACTGTGACAAGTTATTATGGTAAATGTGGCACCGACCATCAGAAAAAAATGGACTCTTGAATAAATAAGAGTTGGAATAATAGGGTAACCTGGGAAAGTAAAGTTGACGGTAGACCTCACACCATAAGCCAACGTCTATCTCAGAATGGATAAAGATCTAAAGGTGAAAAAGGAAAAAGAAACCATAAAAACACTAGGAAGAAACACGGCATGTGGGTGGGAGGCCTTTCTAACTTAGACCCCAAATCTAGGGGTCATGAAGGCTGCTCAATTTTAAAAGAAAATCACTCTTGGGACCAGTTAGCGTAATGGCTATGTTGCTGGACTCCCATGTAGTCGACCGCGGTTCGAGTCCTGGACCTGTTGGCTTAAACTCACGCCGGGCGTGTGCCCAAGATCCTGTGAAGAGAATGGAGGAGAAGAGATTGCAGTGTGGCCATCCCCTCGGGGGGTGATTTCTCACTTTCTGTCTCTCTGTCTCTCTGTCTAGTGCTGTCTCTTTCTAGTGAGCGCACGTGCCCTATAACAAAAACCTCTCTCTCTCAAAAAGTAAAGCAATAATCAAATCAGGAAAAATCCCAGCGTTTACTAACACATCGTAGTGGCAAGGTACAGGCATCAGTACCATGCTGGCGGGAGAGGACCAAACGTAACCCCCATGAAGCACAATGAGGCAGTATGTGTCAGGATTGGAAAGGCACATATCCTTGGCCCTAGCGACTGAATTGACCAAGTCACTATTCCTCTGTCCTGTGTCTTACTTCGTGGAGTCAACGTGAGAGGTGAATGAGATGAGGCACACACAGCACTTGGGGCACAGTGCCCGTGCATAGCAGGTGCTCAGTGTTGGCCAGTAATATCTTCGGCAGTGAGCTCTTACCGCAGGCTACATGATCACACTGTGCTTGGTGCTTTTTGTGTATTAGCTCATTGAATCTGACCAACCCTGTAAAGTAGGTGCCATTGATTATCACTAGTTCGCCTCAGAGGAGCCTGAGGCACAGAGAGGTTAAGCAGGGTGCAGTACGATCTGAGCAGGGGCAGATGGCGAGGCCTGCAACACACTGCCTATTCAGTGTAAAGGGTGAGGAGCAGCTCTTAGGATGTGTGCAGAATGCTGTAGGAATACTTACGGGTGAGCATGCAGCATGCACATCCAACACTACCAAGGGGCCGCGCTAGTTTGGAGGGAAGAGGTGGCTCTCAGTCAAGGCTCTGCCACTTTCAAGCTGCACCTTGGGTAGGGCTGTTTTGTTTTGTCTTAATCTGTTTTCAGTCTATCCCCTGAACTGCAAAGCTAGGGTATTACCTATTTTAAGGGCAGCTGTGGGGACTGAGAGAAACAGAGTTTGGCACTCACACCTGGTAAAAGTGGATAAAGTAGGCCCCATGGCGAAAGCATTCTATTACGGAACAGGGAACATCACACTCCAAGGCTAAAGATCCAGAAAGAGCTCGACGAATCCAGAAAGGGGTGGGGTGAGACAGGGTGGGGTGAGGTGGCTGATGGCCTTGAAGACCAGCTAAAAAACGTGGACTATTTGTTATAGTAAGAAGAAGCGAGTCATCATTTGCTGAGGATTTGCTCTGACATTATTTCCATCAAAACATGAATCCAGGGGCTGGCAGGTGTTACGATGAGGGCGCTGGACTCCCACATGGCTGGCTGCAGTTGGAGTCCTGGACCTGGCAGTTTTCTCTCTCTCTCTGTCCTTCTCTAGTCAAATTGAAATGAAGTTAAATAAAATAATTATTTTTAAATGAATCCATCAAAAGTACTCGACAGAGTTAATAAATTCAATTGTACACAAAATCAAACTGCGAGGAGCCATAGAAAGGTGTAAAGAGGAAGGTGGTTTGATCAGTTTGGTGTTCTAGAAAGATCCCTTGATGTGTTGGACTGATAGGAGGTGCTAGTGACCTCTCTTAAATTCTATACATTAAGAAAAAAAAAAAGGATAGGGGCCAGTAGGTGGCCTGGTGGCTAAGGGGCTGGATTCTCACATGGCCAACCATGGTTGGTGTCCGGTAGCTGGTGGCTTGCTTTTGCACTTTCTCTTACTTTCTCTTTCTCTTGGTCAAATAGAAAAATAACAATAAAAATAAGAAAAATAATTTTCTCTTTTATTCTGCAATTTATAGTCACTGTAGAAAATACTAAAAATACAAGAAAGTTAAAAAAACACATTCTTAGGGACCAGCACTTGGCATAATGGCTATGTGGCTGGACTCCCATGTAGTCCACCAGGATTCAAGCCCCGGACCCGGTGGCTTAAACTCACGCCAGGCGCGTGTGCGTGCGTGCGTGCCCAAGATCCCGAGAGGAGAATGGAGGAGAAGGGATTGCGGCGTGACGATTCCCCCTGGGGGGTGATTTCTCGCTTTCTGTCTTTGTCTTTCCCGCAAGCGCACGCACCCTATAGCAGAAACCTCTCAAAAAAAATAAAAATAAAAATAAAAAAGAAAAAATCCTTAATTACACCTTCCAGAAACAATTGGTCTTTTTTATTCCTCTAATGCGTAAAGAAAATGCAGTTATTAGGCTGACCGGCAAAACGACCGCTGGGAAAAGGACCGCTGTAGAGCGCCCTGGTCCTCTCGAATACATCGGAGGGGACGGAAGTTCCGCTAGGACACAGGGCGGAGCGGCCGCCCCAGGTGCCCCGATCCCAGCGGGCCGTTCGCGCAGACCTAGGGGGCGTGGCCGCGAGACGCCGCGCACGGAGGAGGAGGCGGAGCCAAAACGCGTTTAAACTTGGGCACCGCCGCTGCTCGTAGCCGGCGTCTCCAACATGGCGGCCCCCCAGGATGTCCACGTCCGGATCTGTAACCAAGAGATCGTCAAATTCGATCTGGAGGTGAAGGCGCTTATCCAGGTACTGGTTCCGGGCCTCGCGCGACGCGGCCCCGGCCAGGCTCCGCTGAGCCGGGAGCGGGGCGGGCTCGCTCTCCAGCTCCGCCGCTCGTCAGGTCTCCCAGGCTTCTGTCCCGCCCGGGACCCGCTCCCCGTCCGGGTTGGTCCCATGCCGGTGACCGCTGGCCTTCGCCCTCTCTCCAGGTGCGGCTGGCCTGCCCTCTCCGGCACCGCCGCTTCCCCGCCTCTGACCCGGTTTGCTCTTTGGACACCGGCTTGATTCCTCCCACCCGCATCCTCCGCTGTCGCCGCGCCCCTTACCCCTCCCTGCGCTCCTGTCACCTTGCTCGGCCTCGCCTTCCCCGCCGTCCGGTGGCGTCGCCGAGATCAGTAGCTCCGGCCCTGCTGCCCGCTCTGGTGGACCCCTTGGAACCCAAGGCCCTGGCACGGGAGGCACCCAGTGGAGGGAAAGCAGCCGCGCTGCAGTTGGGATGTAAACGAGGAAATCGAGCCAAGCGCCGAAGTCTGGGGCAGGACGCAGGCAGTGGCAAGCTGGCGGTGGGACGGAAAGTTGGCCGTGGTCTCGCCTCCGTGTAACAGGTGGAGCTGTTCAAGGGGAGACCGCAGTAGTGCAGTCAGCTCGTTGACACAGGCAAGAGTTGGGAATGTAGAAATGGCCCCTGAATTTCACAAAGGAAACCAAGAGTTAAAGGCTTGGCTTTAAAGAATCTTTTCATTTCCACCACAAGTCATTAAACATGAAGGAGAGACTCAGAATTTGTAGCAAGCTGTGGAGAAAAGCGCAAGGCTCCCAGGCCAGCCCGTGCAGAATAAACCAATTAGTAGTTTATCCTCGGGGCAAGGAAGGTGACTTAATGAGTAAGTCAGAGTGGGAAGAAACTTGGTCTAAACTTCTTGAATGTCACTTCTCCAACTTAACTAGCTACAAAACTTCAGGCCAGTTCTAGAAGAATAAATCTTGGATTCGTACACCTGAAATCACCTTATCCCGTATGTAAGCTGCGTAGCCCGCTTCTATCATATGCTCTAACATTTGGGCTCTTGTGGTCGCTAAGGAGAAAGACTAACCAGTAAGTTGTCCGTGGGCTCCAGCTGCTCTACTCAGTGCTTGAGACACACACTAGGTAGGTCACTGCTGAAGAGGCCGGGGACACAGAATGGAAGGAACTTTTTCAAGTCACCCAGCTAAGAAGTTTTGCGGGCAGGATTTGAATCCACATAGCTTGGCTCTAGGGCCTGCTGTAAAAACTGGCCCCAGTACTTGTGAAAAAGCATTCTAAGTCTTCCCTTTCACATGACTGTAAACGCTGTGATTTGTGACAGATGGTATGTAAAACCAGATTGAAGAAGTTCGTTCGTCTTGCAATAGGATGCCAGGAATTTAGGCGTCTTTATTTTCAAGTTGAAAAGTGTTTCTACAGTCCATTCTCACTGACATTCCAACTGTTCAGCTTTTCATCATGGTCAGGTGGTATGTTAAACTTTAGGGAATAATATATACTTAGGTCAGGAGAGAGTTTTGTTTCTCCCTATGCTCTGACATCCTCCTTCCAACATTAATCTAAAGACAAGAGAAAAATGTAAATGATGTTTTTGCTTGTTAGGTTTCAGAGAGAAGCCGAGATCAGGATGAATTAGTCAGTGGGCTGGTCTTAGTTACGGTCTAAGCAGCTCTCTCCCTGTACAGATGGTGTCATTTCATTGTCGCCTTGAGAAAGGTTTCATGTCTTCATGTCTCCTAGGATATCCGTGATTGTTCGGGACCCTTGAGCGCACTAACAGAACTGAACACTAAAGTGAAAGAGAAGTTTCAGCAGTTACGGCACAGAATACAGGTGAGTGGCTGTGGAACCGAGATGCCGAGAACGGGTGACAGACTGGGGACTAACATGTGCTTGAGGGCAGTCGAGGCTCTGTAGACATCAGCTGGAGCTTGGAGTCGTAAATGTTTAGACAGCGAGGACTCGTCTGTCCCCTGGTCCTCCACTGCAGTCCGTCAGCAGCGTCTCCTGGGTGTTTTCGTGCTGTCTTCCTTTCTGTTTCTGTAGTCACCAGTCGTATCATATGCGCATCTAACACGCCTGAGTTTAACTGTGGCGTATGTGGCACCAAAAGTCTCTAGAGTGAGAAGCAGCAGTTTTGAGTGGAACAGGTGTTTCCTTCCACTGCTGTGCACCCAGTTTGGGGCGATGGGTGGTGAGGATCCGCTCAGCCCTGGCTGAACCGTCTGTGGTCCTGGGGTTTAATGACCTGTTCTTTTCATAGTGGCTCCACTGTAGCTCGGAAGGAGATGGTCTGGCCCAAAGCTGGTGGAAAAACTGTCAGTGGAGCGCTCCGTTTCCTGTGTGTTGCCTTCCTAAGGGATTTTCAAGGGCAATTTTGAATATACGCAGTGATTTCATCATTTTATTTACTTTCAAAAGGGTGTTACTTTTTATTCCTAATTTGCAGAAGGTATGTGTGCTCGCCAGAGAGAGACAGAGAGGGAGAGGGAGAAAGCATTCCCACAGGTGTGGTCATGTTGCAGTCCTTTCTCCTCCACCCATCCCGTCGGGATTTGGGGCATGCATGCACATGTGCCTGGTGTGATTTTCAAGCCTCTTGGGCCACGTGGTATCCAGCTCCCCTAACCACTAGACCACAGGGCTGACTCTCATGTGTTCTGAATACACTTGTGCTTCACGAATGATGCGCCTGTGTTCTGAAAAATGCAGTGTTGGGCGGTTTGGGCGTTGCTGAACGCCGTGGTGCCCTTACAGACTTAGATGGTATAATCGACTGCGTACGTGGGTTCTGCAGTACAGTGCATGCAGTGAATTTCGTGTGCATAGGGGCCGTGATGAACAAAGCAACATGAAATCAATCAAGCATAAGAAATGATGCAGTGAAGAGACAAAATGGGGTTGGCAGGTGGCCTAGTGGCTAAGGCACTGGATTCCCACATGGCCAGCTGTGGTTTGAGTCCCGGACCTGACAGCTTGAAACTCATGCTGGGCATGTGTGTGTGTCCAAAATCTCAGGAGGAGAATGGAGAAGGGATTGTGGTAGGGCCATCTCGCCTTGGGGGCACTTTCTCACTTTTCACTGTCTCTCTCTCTGGCAAACACAGGCACCCTATGGCAAAAACTTGAAAAGAAAGAAAAAGACAGTGAACACAGCAAGCGCGAGGCTGCTGCCGGGGCACTCGGCAGACTGTTTTCCAGCTCGATTTTTTATTGGTGGGAGTGTATTCTGAACAATAAAAAGTTGGTAAATGCATAAACCAGTGACAGGGTCATTTCTTGTCCTTACCGGCATCTCGTGCTGTACATGTGCATGGCTGGCGGGGCGGTCAGTGTGCTCACCCCGACCCCACACAGACACGTGTGCTCTGCACTGTGTTAGCGTGGCCACATCCCCAGGCAGCGGGTTTTTTCCACTCCATTTTTTTTTGGGGGGGGGGGTTTGAGAGGGTTTTTGCTATAGGGCGCGTGCGCTCGCCAGACAGAGACAGAGAGACAGAAAACGAGAAATCACCCCCCAGGGGGCATGGTCACACCGCAATCCCTTCTTTTCCATTCTCCTCTCGGGATCTTGGGCACGCACGCACACGCTTCTAGCGTGAGTTTTAAGCCACCGGGTCCAGGACACGAACCATGGTCAACTACATGGGAGTCCAGCGACATAGCCATTACGCTAACTGCTAGTCC